CAATTCATAGATCTTGTTGGCTGTATTATTGTGACATGGTTTGTATTTTTTTGTACTTAGCAGCAAAAAGGTTGATACCCTCTCTCTGTATGGAGAAGGAATCTAGTGTATTCATTTTTTCCAGAAATTTGCTTAGTGTTGTGTGTTCTACTTCTGCTAGATTCTGCTGTCTCTTGCTTGAATCTGTCATTGTGTTTGCAATTCATATATCTTGTTGATGGTATCTTCGTTACATGTTTTGCATTTTTGTACTTGGCAACAAAAACATAGATAACCTCTGTAATGGTAGAATGAAACCTTTATGTTTTTGAGATGTTTGTTTGTTTATTAACTGCAGGAACCAACACATGGGACAGATTTGAGCTTCGTATCCACAAGCGTGTGATCGATCTCTTTAGCTCTCCAGAAGTGGTGAAGCAGATCACTTCCATCACCATTGAGCCTGGTGTCGAGGTCGAGGTCACCATTGCCGATTCTTAGATGCATGTTTCTTCAGTTTATAAGTTGTCATTGAATTTTCCAACGACATCTCTCTTTTTTTGCTACAAGTTTCAGACTTTGGTATTTCCTTTCTAAATATGTTAACGCTGCAATTTTATTTCTGTTGAACATCTATCTGATTTTGCTAGTTGTTGCTTTGCAGTATTTTTTACTATTTTAAAACTTTTAAAATTCTTCTATCTTACTGTGAATCACTCTGTTTCAATTGGTGTATGTTTTACTCTTTGGTATTGTTGGAGAGTTAAAGAGTAAATGTAAATCCATATTAGTAGCATAAGTGCTTTGTTATAATAAACTAATCGTTAAATCTAGCTATACTCCACTCGAATCTATATATAAATGAGTATTGTGAGTTTTGATTATTAGTCGCTTCCATTGTCTCATAATAATGGAAAATAAATGTTTGGCAATAATCACCAAAGCAAAGAAGAGTAGAGAAGATTGTTGAGAGTGTAATTTATTCTCAGCCCAAGATGATTAGTTTTGTACCTTATTGCTCATTATTTACCCAACAGAGTAATCAGGCGCTTTATTGAAGTTGGTGAGGAGATTTTTTGCTATCAACCGAATCAATTCTTTGTGCTCCTTTTTGCTAAAAGCGAAAAGGAAACACAAAAAAGTCAGACTAAAATCTCAAATAAAATAGAAGAAATCTAATTATGTTGACACTCTTGTGTGTGTCTTGTATAATTATTTTCGTTTCTATATCTGCATGATTGCATGTTTATATCTGAATTTCTTATCAGTTTGTTCGTATAACAGATAATACTTCGGTTATC